GGTGGTTTCTTGGCTTCAATAGGCCTTGAAAAATCGTTTTTTGAGAGCTGGTCGGAATCCCGTTACGCTATAAAATTCATTAAAGGTCCCTTGAAGTCAGGCAGGGACGAAAATCCATAGCAATCGGGCAAAACCAAGTTTTCGCTTTCAGCCTTCTCTTAAAATTACTGACCGAGTTCCGATGACATCCGGTTACGCAATGAAAACCAAGGGGCTGGGAAGCGCGAGATCCCTAGCTCTAATTACATATTTCCTTCAATAGCTCTTTAAAAGCGTGTTTTTTGACGGAGGATATCCGATTACACCATGAAAATGTATTAATGGCCCGGGAAGGATAGAACGGTCTCAAATCCATAGGAAATAGTTAGATTTTGCCTTCAACAGCCCTTTAAAATCAACATTGACATTGAGATCCAATTCGGTCACAAAAGAGCTGGAATGCCGGGAAATCCGTAGTTAACCGGCGTTTTCTAAGCCAATTTTTGCCTTCAATGACCCTTTAAAATCGTGTTGTTCGCCTACTCCAGCTCAAAAAGCACAATATCCCCAGACCAGAAATGAGTCCACAAAAAACCCTGCGCGCCTAAATTGAGTCAAATTAACACGTGGTAGCCGGGGTGGATTCCTGAATACAACATGCACACACACACCGTCACTCCGCCATAATACAATTGACGGTACCTCCCTTCAACCATTATTATTCCTATCCAATTACGGGGTGCAAAATAGGGACCACGGCTTCGATAGCTGAATCAAATTTGGAGGCACACGTTTTTTCTATTTTGCGCGGCCCGAGGCGAGTAGGCGGGTGGTGGTGGTGGTCAAAAGTGATCTGCGGTGATTTTGACGGGGGGGGGATTTGATTTGGTTCTTGGGGGGTTGTGATTTATGGGTTGCTGATTTTTGGCTGGGTTTGTCATGTCATCTAGCGGCTACCGCTTTACACAACTGCATCAGATTTTTATTATTTAAAAAGGAGACGTAAGTTCCGGGAAAATCGAGTTTTTGTACGGGGGGTTAAGCGAGCTTGTGCAGAATTTTGCGCTGATTTCGAGCCTGCTTTTAAAAACTGCGACTATCAGATCAAATAAGTTATAAAGCTTAAAGCAAAGAGCGTAAATTGGCTAAAACTGGCCTTTTGGGCTTTTTCGCTCGTCTCCTTCTAAGCTAAAAATTAGTAAAGGTACCAAAAAACGAGGTCCAGCGATTTTGCAGCGCACCGCGATACGCAACACGTCGCACTTTTTCATGGCGCAATCGTTTACGACCCATTCTTGGCCCACGCAAGCGTCCAAGTGTTCCGCCCAGATGACCCCGGCGGGCGGCGGCGTCCAGAGTACTGTACTCACTTTTCACTTGCGTACGTGGGGCGCGAAATACTCACAGGTTTTTTGGCTGCCCAGGTCTGGTTTTGTAATTGGGCGACGCGTATGGCGCACGCGTTGCGGTCTACCCTCGTTTCGAAATCTACCGGACGCGTTATTAGGAGTCGGGCCGCTGTGCCCAGAGCGACCCCGGCGCGTTGCGTATCGCGTCGCGTCTCTCAATTGCTCAAAACCATAGGGATCCATGGTTAGAAAAATGGCGCAAGCTCTAGCTTGCCTTTAAAGGGACTGGGAAGTCATGAATTTAACGAATCTTCCTGCAATTTGCTTTTTGGTCAGCCACCAAAGTTAAATTCGGCGACGCGAGGCTGCATTTTTCGACGGTTTTACCTCTTGGGGATTACTGTATGGAGGCTGATATTCGACCCCCCCGGTAGCGCATTTTTCATTCCAGGTGTTTAGGCTAATTTTATCTACCGTAATAGCCCGTTTTCCGGATTAGACACCAAAAGCCAACGGGTTCTAGACGTACTTCCCAAGCGACTGTGTGCGCTTGGGGGTTTCCATAGCGTTACTGACGTCCTAGGTATTTTGGAAAGGCCTTTTGCCGCTTTAATTCCGGTTTATACCACTTTAGCAATTCGTTAAAAACGCTTCAGTTTTGAATTTTTATAAAAATTATATAAAACAATTTTCGACAGCTGTAAGCCTTAAAAAAATTCTTTTCAAACCATCAAAAGCCGCCTTTTCAAATTTAAGACTAACTGAAGTCTTTTCCGCCCTTTAAAGTCCAAAAATTACATCATTATATGCCATTTAATTGCGCCGATACCATGACAAACTCCGCATAACTTTAACCTATCAACTATAATAAAAATGTAGGGGTGTCTGTCCGTCCGTCCGTCATGTCCCGGATTCAACTCGAAGGGGGAAGGAGCTAGAGCTTAGCTCTCTTCGGATTCGGATAGAGCGTGGTCAGAAACCCCCAAACTGAGCAAAAAATTATGAAAAAGTTTTAGTTTAAATTATTAAAATTAACTTTGAAAGTTTTTCCTTAGTAAAATGGGTGGGGGCGGAGGTTGGGGTGATGTTGGACCGTGGAGTGAGTCAGGTGGTGCGCGTTTCGTGGATGCAAATTTTCACCGGAGCCATTTCATTTCCTTTATTTCTCCACGTATCCGGTCGGTCCTTATTTTTGTTTTTAAGGGGATTTCGGCTATGGGGGGTATCTGAAGCCATCAGGAAGGTATTTAGGTGGTTTTTGAAGGCGATTTGGCTAGGGGGAGGTATCGAAGTAGTTTAGGTATCTAAGTTTAGGTGGCTAGGGGGTATCTGAATCGATTGGGTGTGGGTATTGATGAAGATAGAGATGTAATGTGGTGGCGTAGAACAGGGAGGGTAGCCCGAAGGCCAGTCGATTACAGTCGCGAAGCGGCTGTAATCGGCTGGTAATCTATATACACGTTCAACAGAAAAACACATAAAATCACCCGCGCCATTTTCACCACCTACTTACTGCACGATTTGTGGCGTCAAAGTTCCGTTTGCCCTTTCAAACTTTCCCCCATTGCCGCGCAGTACGAGATGATCCGTGCTCACCCCCGGGTTCCGCCTCCCCACTTTTGGGGTACGGTAGCCGGGGTGGGGGAGGAGGAAAAGCCCCAAAAGACCCACCTGCCCCGACGAGGCCACGCCCCCCTTTTTGGGGCCACACGCGGGACTGTCCAAGGGGGCCCATTCCATATTTCGAGACCGACTCAGAATTTCTGGCTCTACCGAAAAATTGAGCTAAAGCTTCAGCTACATTTCGACTCCCCAAAAAAACTGCTTCAAGATGTGGATCGATGTGGCGCAGGCCTGTGGGTGATTCGAGATAGATATACTGTCATGGGGCGCGGTTTAGAAGGGTGGAAGGCCCCTGGAGGCAAATAGCTACGGCTTCCGCCCAAAAAAAGTCTAACATTTTAAGGAATTCCATTTTTTTCATGTGAAACTTACAGTTTGAAGCTTTGGAAAAGTGCCAACATCCAGAAACCCGATTTAAAGGAACGCTGAAGGGAAATCGATAGCATTTCAAAGCTGATTTGTTTTTAGTCAGCATAAAACAATCTAAAACAAAAAAGCTTTTCAACTTTTTTTAAAAGCTAAAGGTCTCGAACCGGTCCGAAAAATCATTAACTTTTTCAAAAATGAAATGTTTTTGCCAAGCTTTGCGAATCCTTTAGAGTGGTTAGAAAGATAGAAATGTCTTTGGAGTCGGCAATTTTGAATAAATCTCGAATAAAGCTTTAAAAATTGGGAAAATTCCTAAAAATCCAGATTGAATGAAAATTTGGCTTTTTTGTAAATTCAGCTCAAAAAAGCATGTCGCTTTTTTCTGACTTCTCCATCCTTTTAAAAACCACATTATTTTAATTTAGCCCTTTCGATTCTTAAAAAAAACAATTTCCTGCCGTATCCCGGAGGCCAAAGTTCAGAAAAATATGTCAAATTTTGCGCTTTCGCAAAAATGAAGGTACACGCGCGAAATTAGAGTCCTAGTTTTCGGAGTACACATAATCTCAAATAGGCTTCACCCTCCCGCTTTTCCCCATAATTATCGCTGGTCTCAACACGCCCGGGGCCAGCCCTGGCCAAAATGCTATTTCACGCTCTTTCCGCCGGGCTACCGTACCCCGTACCCCAAGGAGCACCCAATTATGAGGGGTAAAAGGGTACGAGGGCCTAGGGTGCGCGTAAAAGTGGTGCACAACGGACGGGGAGGCGTGAAAATGGTGGGTGTTGGCAATGGTGGCTGATGTCTGGATAATTATTTTGCACCCGTGGGACAGGGGGTCGATCTTTATAAATTGGCGGAAAATTCCGCCAGTGATCTTTGCTGGTTAATTTTTAAGCTAAACACGCTAAATTCCTCAAAAATCTCTGCTGGCTTGCCTTGGCTTTAGCATTTAATCTAATAGCTTATTGAGGAGCCTGACGGTTCCTAAACTGATCTCTGCTAGCTGGCCTGGCTTTAAATTCCATTAGTTTTAAGTAAAAACCGTTAAATTCGACAAAAGTGGCTTCTAGCTGTCCTAAATGGCCTCTACTGGTTACCCTAGCTTTAGGATACGATACTTTTCTAGCCAGAAACCGTCAACTTCCGCCAAAAGTTCCTGCTAGCCTGCCCGGAATACAAAAAAAAAATTGTTATAAACGCTTCTAAGCGTGTATAAAAATTTCCACAATGTTCCCTGCTAGCCTGCCCCCCAAACTGTAACTGAGATACCATATAAAGTCTCCAAAATTTAAAAATGACGATTATCCTGTTATTTTCAGTCGCGGGCACCGGACAAGCGTACGTGGACGCCCTTCTCCAGCTCTACTCCACCCATCCCCAGCTGGCAATGTCCCTTCTCGGACCGTCGTGTTCATCTACAGCCTTGGCAGCGTCACTGCCATGTGACAGTGCCGTGCTGGCTACTCCGTAAGTTCAAAAAATTATTAAGAAGAACGCTAAGAAAAAAAGTAAAAACGGCTAAACCGGAACCTCAATTTCATACCGTAATCGGTTCGTTGGGCTAAAAAATAAGAATTATTAGAGACGCTATTAGAAACTGTCAAAATTCACAATACAAGATTTCATAAACAAAGGATGCGAAAATTGATTATTCCCGGTAATTTTACACCTTTTAGCTCTCCGACCCTCCCGCAGCTCGGTCTCCAGCGGAAGTGCATCTACCGATCCGCATACCGACATTCTCGTGCCGAGTAGCGACAAGGAGGATGGTGCCGGAATGAAAATACATCGAAAAAGTCCCCGCCGGATATATATGCTCCGTTTGCAAGAAGGTCTACGGTAAGTCGAGGGTTTTCCAGCCCGAAAATGCCCGGAATCTCACGATTTTACGAATTTTTGGTTTTTTAGGACGGTACAATTCTGTCTCTTACCATGTGACAATCTACCACCGTAACCCGCCAATCCGATGCGAGCAGCCGGGGTGTAATCTTCACGACGCGAGAAGCCAGATATATCCATTTCCACAAGTACTATCGGCATCACATTCCGCTGCCGGATACGATCGATTTAGGTAGGGAGTTTGTAGCTTGTAGTTTTGCTAGAAAAACCGCAAAATTAATAATCGAAAGATACAATATAATATTTTATTAAAAACTTCATTTTATATCCAGGTTTTAAAATACAGACTCACGTTTTTCGACCCAGAATCTCAAATTTTATTTTTTTGGTTTTTGGACAAATTTCCTAATTGATATCCAGTTCATTTACACTCACAACACTATTCAAATACTGATCATTAACTTATTAAGCATTTCTGGCCAATATAAAATAGCCCCCCGATAATGGAAAGAACCTGAAACGTTATTTTTTGGACGATTTTGATCTCCAGCCGTACCAAAGTTTGCAGTCCATGCTTTTACGAAAAATTTGGATCAAATCCCATCATTTTCCCGAAATAAACTATCCCGAATCCCGATAATTTCGATAATTAATGGAGCATTACACCCTCTTAAAAACATCACTATGGTCCCGTGTTACCAGGTTTCCTCGCGTAATTGGATAAAGTAATTTACCGCTCGCTGGGGAGTGTAGGCGGGCGGAACTATGAACACGGAGATGAAATTGGATACTACAGGGAACTGATGAGAAGTTGAAGGAGTTCAGTTGACGTGATGGTAGCAGAAATGCAGCCCGAAAATTGGGGGTAATTGGGGGAGGTAAGCGGAAATAAAGGCTAGAAATTCCAGAAAAATGCATAAAAAGCCAGATTAATCAAAAACTATTAAAAGGCTTTTAAAAAGCCAAAAACAAGCTTATAAATTTTAAAAAGTAGTTATATATAGTTATAAGCATAAATTAAACAATAAACAAACATATTGATACTTTTTTAGGCTCGAGAAAATGCCCATTCTGCCGGCACGTCAGCAAAAGCCCGGCGATGCTCGAGAGCCTCGCAAGACATGTTCCAGGCGATAGAACGGTGAGGAAAATATCTTAACTAAATATTAACTAAATTACTTTATAATCGAACTATATAACACTGGGTTCAAAACTATATAATACACCTTAAAAACCTTTTTAAAACTTCAATTTTAGGCGCGATCCTCGCCTGCATCCGCCCATGCATCCCCGCCCGCCTGCACCCCGCCGCAGGTAAAAATTTGATAAAACCAGCTTTAGATAAACTTTTCTAGGTCAAGATTTATATAATAAAGTCTATTAATAAATTATAACCTTATTTTTAGACTAACGACTACCCCGCTATCGGTCCATACGGCCGTCTACCCGTCGTAAACGTCTCGCTGTCGACCGGCGCCTTCTCTATTCCCCAATCCACCATCAACCCCAGCAGATACACTGTACGCAGTGCCATTTCACGTGGAGTTTTATATTTTAGTTAATTTAAAACATTTAAAACAAAAAACGCGAATTTTTACCTAGACAAATCGCGCGATAGCTTTTCCTCGGCGACGCCGCGCTCCTTTGCGCAGTCGTTACCGGATGCGCTAGTGTTTTTACGAGCAAAATTAAGTTGGTATGATTAAATTAAACTTCGGGAAGAATTTACCTTTATAGTCCTCGCCCGAAAAGTGTTTTTCGGGTCGGATCGATCTAGAAATGATCAAAATGTAGTTTTCAGTGAAAAAATGCGCCGGAAAGAAGTTTTGAGGATTTAAAAGACCTTTTTGCTAAATTCCGGGGACCATAAAGGGGGTACGGGGGTATATCAGTTTATAGTCCTCGGCTAAAATCCAGTTTTCTTGTCGGAAACAATCCAGAAATGTTCAAAATGTCTGTATTCGGGAAGTGAAAAAATGCTCGGAGAAGGATTTGTCACTAAACCGGCTTCCATTCTGCTGAAAATCCGAGGACCATAAAAGGGGTACGGGGGTATGTCATTTATGGTCCCTACCTGAAGAGTGTTTTTGTCTTTTACCAAATCAATAGATAATTGTTGGAAATTCACTTATTACTTCGGAAAAAAGTGCCGGAAAGATGTTCGCGGTCGCCTAAGACTTCTGAACAAGGTGCGGCACTAGCATTATCGAACAAGGCGAGCCGTCGGCTTCGGATGGGCTGCCGCTCCGCTCTTCCGAATGGGGGCGCCCCCGCCGCCCCCGCCGGCCTTGGCGCCCCCATTTCGAAGCCCATCGAGCTCCTCCCATCCGAAGCGACTAGGCCCCCGGTGGCGCGAGCCTTATTTTTAGGCTAAAACTGGGCCTGAATGGTACATGCCAAATAATTTTTGCAGCTAAAAGGTCATTCCAGCGCATTTTTTCACTGAATATGACATTTTGAATATTTCTGGATTGTTTCCGACGAGAAAAACTGGATTTAGCCGAGGACCATAAACTACATACCCCGTACCCCTTTTATGGTTCCTAATTTTAGCAAAAAAGGTCTTTTTAGCCCTCAAAAACTTCTTTCCAGCGCATTTTTTTCACCTGAAAACTACATTTTGATCATTTCTAGATCGATTCCGACCCGAAAAAACACTTTTCGGGCGGACCATAAGGTAAATCAA